ACCTATGTTACTGCGGGATACTATTTCGTCCATCTTATTGCCTTTTGACCAATGATTTAACTACCTTTCTCTTTCCTAATATGATTGAATCAAACTAAACTCATTCTTGGGGCTATATAGATCTTTGTAGGTTTAGTATGGTTCCAAAGAATCCAAACTAATTTATATAATCTCAAGGGGCACCCAACACATTCCGTTTATTTTTGTAAAAAAAATCTAAAATTCGCACGAAATCGTTGATTAGGCTTAAATTTTGGACTTTTTTGGACCTGAAAAAAAAAATTATGGAGATGATACTCATAGGCCCAAATACACAACGAAGGTCTATTTGGGTAGGTGAAACCATCTACTTTGCCTTTAATTGTCCATTAGAAACATCAATATTTTACGCCTTTTTCCTTAACTCAAGGCCACTTAGACATTTATGACGACATATAATGATCATATACAGTAACAAACAACATTATATAACCTTGCGATGTTTTCCCTATAACCTCCTAAATTGTTATAATTTTGTGTGTTATGGCCTTCAATTTTGGCTAATTTTTATTTTTTTCTGAGGGTTTGGAAGGAAAGAGGTCATGGTGTTTCCCATGGACCCTATGTTACCCTAGGAAACTATTTAGTTCCTTCTATTGCCTTTTAACCAATAATTTAGCTAGTTTTCACTCTCCTAATATGATTGAATCAAACTAAATTTATTCTTATGGCTTTATAGACATCTTTATAGGTGTCTTATGATTCCAAATTAACTTATATAACCTCTAGTGACACCCCCTGCATTCCGTTTCTTTTTGGAAAAAAATCTAAAATTAGCTCGAAATCATGGATTATAGCCTTCAATTTTGGACAATTTTTTACTCTTTTGGATCCATGAAAAAAAAAACCTTGAGATGATACTCATAGACCCAAATACACTTCGGTGGTCCATATGGGTGGGGAAAACAATCCACTTAGCCTTAAATCGTCAATTATAGACATCAACATGTTATGCCTTTATCATTTACTCAAAGGCCACCATGGGAATTTATGACCACATGTAATGATCATATATGGTAACAAATGACATTATATAACTTTAAAATGTATTCCCTCTTATCTCAAGATTTTTTGACACCGGGATCTGTAGCCTCCAAAATTGCTTCGATTTCGTGTATTATAGCCTTCAATTTTGTCTATTTTTTTTTTCGGGTTTGGAAGAAAAGAGGTCATGGTGTTTCTTATTGACCCTATGTAACCCTAGGAAACTATTTAGTTTCATCTTATTGCCTTTCCAATAATTTAGCTAGTTTTCACTCTCCTAATATGAATGAATCAAACTAAATTTATTCTTATCGCTTTATAGACATCTTTTTAAGTGTCATATGATTGCAAATTAACTTATATAACCTTTAGGGACACCCTATACATTCCATTTCTTTTTGTAAAAAAAATCTAAAATTAGCTCGAAATCATGAATAATAGCCTTCAATTATGGACAATTTTCAACTCTTTTGGACCCATGACAAAAAAATGGTTGAGATGATACCCATAGACCCAAATACACTCTGGTGGTCCATATGGGTGGGGGAAACAATCCACTTAGCCTTTAATAGTCAATTATGGACATCAACATCTTATGCCTTTATCTTTCACTCAAAGGCCACCATGGGAATTTATGACAACATGTAATGATCATATATGTTAACAAATGACATTATATAAACTTGAATTGTATCCCCTAAAGATATTTTGACTCCGGGACCTATAGCCTCCAAAATTGCTTCGATTTTGTGTATTATAGCCTTCAATTTTGGATAATTTTTTTACTTTTCCAAGTTCAAAAAGGAAAGAGGTCATGATGTTTCCCATGAAACCTATGTTACCGCGGGATACTATTTGGTCCATCTTATTGCATTTTGTCCAATAATTTAACTACCTTTCTCTTTCCTAATATGATTGAATCAAACTAAACTCATTCTTGGGGCTATATAGATCTTTGTAGGTTTCGTGTGGTTCCAAACTAATTTAAATAACCTTAAGGGGCACCCAACACATTCCGTTCATTTTTTGGAAAAAAAAAAAAACTAAATTCGCACGAAATTGTGGATTATAGCCTTCAATTTTTTACTTTTTTGAATCCGAAAAAAAAATTGTCGAGGTGATACTCATAGACCCAAATACACAACGAAGGTTTATTTTGGTAGGTGGAACCATTGACTTTGCCTTTAATTGTCAATTAAAGACATCAACATCTCACGCCTTTTTCATTAACTGAAGGGCACTTTAACATTTATGACAACATATAATGATCATATACAGTAACAAACGACATTATATAACCTTGGGATGTTTCCCCTATAATCTCTTGATGTTTTGATAGTAGGACCAATAACCTCCTAAATTGCTTTAATTTTGTGTGTTATGGCCTTCAATTTTGGCTAATTTCTTTTTTTTTTTTTTACGGGTTTTGAATGAAAGAGGTCATGGTGTTTCCCATGGACCTTATGTTACCTTAGGAAACTATTTAGTTCCTTCTTATTGCCTTTTAACCAATAATTTAGCTAGTTTTCACTATCCTAATATGATTGAATCAAACTAAATTTATTCTTATGGCTTTATAGACATCTTTATTGGTGTCTCATGATTCAAAATTAATTTATATAACCTCTAGGGACACCCCATACATTCCTTTTTTTTTTTGGAAAAAAAATATAAAATTAGCTCGAAATCATGGGTTATAGCCCTCAATTTTGGACAATTTTTTACTTTATTGGACCAAAAAAAAAATTGAGATGAAAACCATAGGCCCAAATACACTCCTCTGGTCCATATGGGTGGGAAAAACAATCCACTTAGCCTTAAATTGTCAATTATAGACATCATCTTATGCCTTTAACTAACTCAAATGCCACTATGGGAATTTATGACAACATGTAATGATCATATATGTTAACAAATGACGTTATATAACCTTGAAATGTTTCCCCAATTATCTCAAGATTTTTTGACACCTGGACCTGTAGCCTCCAAAATTGCTTCAATTTCGTGTATCATAGCCTTCAATTTTGGATATTTTTTTTACTTTTCCATGTTCGAAAAGGAAAGAGGTCATGGTGTTTCCCATGAAACCTATGTTACCGCGGGATACTATTTGGTCCATCTAATTGCCTTTTAACCAATAATTTTGCTAGTTTTCACTTTCCTAATATGATTTGATCAAACTAAACTCATTCTTGGGGGCTATATAGATCTTTGTAGGTTTCATATGGTTCCAAACTAATTTATATAACCTCATTGGCACCCAACACATTCCGTTCATTTCTCGAAAAAATTCTGAAATTCGCACGAAAGTGTGGATAATAGCCTTCAATTTTGGAATTTTTTAGACCTATAAAAAAAATTGTCGAGATGATACTCTTAGACCCAAATACACAATGATGGTCGATTTGGGTAGGTGGAACCATTTGCTTTGCCTTTAATTGTCAATTAGAGACATCAACATCTTACACATTTTTCATTTACTCAAAGGCCACAATTGACATTTATGACAATATATAATGGTCATATACAATAACAAACGACATTATATAACCTTGGGATGTTTCCCCTATAATCTCGAGATGTTTTGATAGAAGGACTAGTTATCTTTTAAATTGCTTTAATTTTGTGTTTTACGGCCTTCAATTTTGGCTTTTTTTTTGGGGTTGGAAGGAATGAGGTCATGGTGTTTCCCATCGACCCTATTTTACCCTAGGAAACTATTTAGTTCCTTCTTATTGTCTTTTAACCAATAATTTAGCTAGTTTTCACTCTCCTAATTTGATTGGATCAAACTAAATTTATTCTTATGGCTTTATAGACATCTTTATAGGTGTCTCATGATTCCAAATTGACTTATATAACCTCTAGGGGCACGTCATACATTTCGTTTATTTTTGGAAAAAAAATCTAAAATTAGCTCGAAATCATGGATTATAGCCTTTAATTTTGGACAATTTTTGACTTTTTTGGACCCATGAAAAAAAATTTGTTGAGATGATACCCATAGACCCAAATACATTCTGGTGGTCCGTATGGGTGGGGGTAACTATCCACTTAGCCTTAAATTGTCAATTATAGACATCAACATCTTATGCCTTTATCTTTAACTCAAAGGCCATCATGAGAATTTATGACAACATGTAATGATCATATATGGTAACAAATGATATTATATAACCTTGAAATGTATCCCCTATTATCTCAAGATTTTTTGACATCGGGACCTGTAACCTCCAAAATTGCTTCGATTTCGTGTATTATAGCCTTCAATTTTTGATAATTTTTTACTTTTTCAAGTTCGAAAAGGAAAGTGGTCATGGTGTTTCCAATGAAATTCATGTTACCCCAGATACTATTTGGGTCCATCTTTAACCAATAATTTAGCTAGCTTTCTCTCTCCTAAAATGATTGAATCAAATTAAACTCATTCTTTGGGTTGTGTAGACATCTTTGTAGGTGTCTTGTTCTTCAACACTAACTTATATAACCTCAATGAGCAACCCACACATTTCGTTCATTTTTGTAAAAAAAAAATCTAAATTTGCTCGAAATTGTGGATTATAGCCTCAATTTCGGACAATTTTTTACTTCTTTGGATCCGTAAAAACATTGTCGAGATGATACCCATAGATCCAAATTCACTTCGGGGGTCTATTTGGGTGGGTGGAACCATCATCTTTGCCTTTATGACATTGTATAATGATCATATACAGTAACAAAAGACATTATATAACCTTGGAATGAATCCCCTATTATCTTGAGATTTTATTATACCAGGACCAGTAACCTCCTAAATTGCTTCAATTTTGTGTGTTATGGCCTTTAATTTTGGCTTTATATTTTTAATTTTTCCCGGGTTTAGAATGAAAGTGGTCATGGTGTTTCCCATGGACCTTATGTTACCCTAGGCCCCTAGCTACTTTGCCTTGTCCTTACTTTGCCTTGCATTATTGGCTTACTTTTGAGTTTTATGTTAGTTCTTGTCAGAACATTCTGGAACGAAGGTAAAGTTGATGAAGCTGTGCGTATAGTCAGGGACATGGAACAAAGGGGGATAAAGGGATCTGCCAGCGTGTACTATGAACTAGCGTGCTGCCTTTGCAACAAAGGAAGGTGGCAAGAAGCAGTGATGGAGGTAAGCAACATGGATCTAGATTGCTTGTTTTTGGTGTGATATGAATATGGAACTTTTATCGCACTTTATCCTTTTCTTGAAAGGTTTTTTTATTTTCTGAATTCATTGGCAGATTGAGAAGTTGAAAAAACTGCGTCTTACAAAACCATTGGCCGTGACTTTCACTGGCATGATTATGTCTTCTATGGATGGTGGATATGTTGATGATTGCATATCTATATTTGAGCAAATGCTAGATCATTGTCCTCCAAACATTGGAACTGTAAATGCTATGTTAAAGGTCTATGGGCGTAATGATATGTTCTTAGAGGTTAAGGAGTTAGTTGAGAAAGTCAAAGCTGGATACAAAGCTTTTCTGGGTGATGGTGACACTCCTCTAATCCCAGATTTCTATACATATGGAGCAGTGCTTGAAGCATCAGTTTATGCACATCAGTGGGAGTACTTTGAGTATGTTTACAAGGAAATGTGCTTTTCAGGATACCAGTTTGATCAGGAAAAACATGCAGTACTGCTTGTCGAAGCATCAAAAGCAGGCAAGGTAAAGCAATGGAATTAATTCAAGAATTCTAATGCAGTCTTTATTTTGATAGTTTCATTGTGCAAAAAAATTTATCATTATTGAACATTTTTATTCCTTGTGCAGTGGCATTTATTGGAACATGCCTTTGAAACAACTTTGGAAGCTGGAAAAATCCCACATCCAATGCTATTCTCTGAAATGGTCTGCCAAGCAATTTTGCAGGATGATTACGAAAAAGCTGCCAGACTTGTCAATTCAATGGCTCATGCTCCATTTCAAATAAATGAGAAAGACTGGACTGATCTCTTTAGAAAGAATAAGGATAGGATCAGTGATGAACACCTTAAAAAATTATCCACTACACTTAGTGAATGTAATTTGTCGAGTGAATCCACGGCCTCAGAACTGGTGAAAGCTTTGCATTCTATATGTGGGTCAGCACCAGCTGAGAGCACCTCTTGTAGTGATTCATATGCTGCCAAGGGCACCTGTGTCAATGGAAGAATTGCATACTATACTGGTGGACACCAAAAACTGCTTAATGATGACTTCTACCAAGATAAAATAACAGTTGGTCAATCTAGTTATGGAAAGCCCGGTATGAATGAGCTTCATGCTGTTAGTTCTGGTGATGGTTCTGATGAAGATGACAAAGCCAGCTTGAGCAGCAAGTCATCTAGCTTTGTTGATGTGGCCTCTGATAAAATTGCCTGTTTAGGTGAGGGTTTTTTTACATGTGCAATCGCATAGCCAAGATACCTTCGAAGAAATGTTAACATTTGATGATTGGGATTCTAAAGCCAGCGATATAGATCATCCACGATTACCTTCAGCAGATGAAATATTGCAATCTTGGAAGATAAATCAGGAAAAAGTATGGAACTAGTTCCTTCTTGAGCTCTAGTTGGAGTATCAGTGTTGTATTGGATATACTGATTGATTGTTTTTTTTTTTTTTTTTTTTTTTTTTTTTTGAAGATAATTGATTAACTAATTTATTATTATTATTATTATTATTATTATTATTATTATTATTATTATTATTATTATTATTATTATTATTATTATTATTATTATCATCATCATCATCATCATCATCCCACATGTTTACCAATTTACGAAATACACTCTCCTACCCGTTTGATTTTCCAATTTGGAATTGGGAAGTAAATTAAAGGAAGTAAATGCTATTAAGTGAAATACAAGTAAGGTAATAGAGTTTATAAATTTTAAGAGAGGGATAGAGCTATTAAAAGTTGACTCGACCCAAAATACCGACTCAAATCCGATTATTAACTGAATCATCTAAACCCGAAAAAATGGTGACCCAAATCCAACCTGACCTAACCTAATACCCTGGTCTCTAATACCCTCTGGGAGTCCAATCGGGTGGGTGGAACCATCCTATTTGCCTTTAAACGGCCAATTTACCGGTTTACAACTTGCACCGATTTAATTAAGTCAAGCCCACTACAAACATTTATGACAACAAATAATGATCAAATATGGTTCCAAACGACATTATATGACTTTTCGACACCAAGCACCGAAACCTCCAAAATTTTACAAAAAGTGTGGATAATAATCTTCAATTTTTGAATTTTTTGACTTATTTTCGCCCGAAAATAAATACTGCCGAAATATATACCATGTTCCCTAATACCCTCTGGGAGTCCAATTGGGTGGGAACCATCCAATTTGACTTCAAAGGGCTAATTTATTGATTTCAATTACTCAATCCTACCACGAACATTTATGATAACATATAATGATCATATATGGTTCCAAACGACATAATATTACCCCGAGATGTACCCCTTAAAATCTCAAGTCTTATTGACACCGGGTCCCAAAACCTCCAAAATTTATCAAAAAGCGTGGATACTAGCCTTCAATTTTTGAATTTTTTACACTTTTTTTTGTCTGCATATATAAATAACCGAAATGTTTACCATGATTCCTAATAATCTCCGGGAGTCCAATTGGGTAGGTGGAACCATCCCATTTGCCTTTAAACGGTCAATTTACCGATTTACAACTATCACCGATTTAATTAATTCAAGCCTACCACGAACATTTATGATAGAATATAATGATCATATACTGTTCCAAACGGCATTATATGACCTTGAGATTTATCCCCTAAAATCGCAAGGCTTTTCAACAATAGGCCCCGAAACCTCCCAAATTTCCAAAAAACGTGGATATTAGACTTCAATTTTGGAATTTTTTGACTTTTTTCGCCCGGAAATAAAAATTGCCAAAATGTTTACCATGGTCCCTAATACCCTCCGGGAGTCCCATTGGGTGGGTGGAACCATCCAATTTGCCTTTAAACGGTCATTTTACTGATTTACAACTTGCACCGATTTCATTAAGTCATTCCTACCACGAACATTTATGACAATATATAATGATCATATATGGTTCCAAACGACATAATATGACCCCGAGATGTCTCCCTTAAAATCTCAAGCCTTTTCGACACCGGGTCCCGAAACCTACAAAATTTATCAAAAAGCGTGAATATTAGCCTTCAATTTTGGGATTTTTTTGACTTTTTTTCGTTCGAAAATTAAAATTGCCGAAAAATATTTACCATGATCCCTAATAACCTTCGAGAGTCCAATTGGTTGGGTGGAACCATCAAATTTGCCTTTAAACGGTCAATTTCCCGGTTTATAACTTGCACCGATTTCAATAATTCAAGCATACCACGAACATTTATGACAACATATAATGATCACGTATGGTTCCCAACGACATTAAATGACCCCAAGACTTATCTTATAAAATTTTAAGGCTTTTCGACACCGGACTCTGAAACCTCCAGAATTTCTCAAAAAGCGTGGATAATTAGCCTTCAATTTTGGAATTTTTTGACTTTTTTCCGTCCGAAAATAAAAATTTCCAAAATGTTTACCATGGACCCTAATACCCCGCGGGAGTCCAATTAGGTGTATTGAACCATCCAATTTGCCTTTATAAAACCAATTTATCTATTTACAACTAGCACCGATTTCATTAATTCTAGCCAACCACGAAAATTTATGGCAACAAATAATGATCATATATGGTTCAAAATGACATTATATGACCTCGGGATTTATTCCCTAGAATTTCAAGACTTTTAAACACCAGACCTCGAATACACCAAAATTTCTCAAAAAGCATGGATACTAGCCGTCAATTTTTGATTTTTTTTTTTTTACTTTTTTTCCCCATGCATATAAAAATAGCCGAAATGTTTACCATGATCCCTAATAACCCTCCGGGAGTCCAATTGCGTAGGTGGAACCATCCAATTTGCCTTTAAATGACCAATTTACCGATTTACAACTCTCATCGATTTAATTAATTCAAGCCTACCACGAACATTTATGACAACATATAATAATCATATATGGTTCCAAACGGCATTATATGACCCTGAGATGCATCCCCTAGAATCTCAAGGATTTTTGACAATAGGCCCCGAAACCTCCAAAATTTCTCAAAAAGCGCAATTTCGGAATTTTTTGAATTTTTTTCACCCGGAAATGAAAATTGCCGAAATGTTTACTATGGTCCCTAATACCCTCCGGGATTCCCATTGGGTGGGTGGAACCTTCCAATTTGCCTTTAAACGGCCAATTTACCAATTTACAACTTGCACCGATTTCATTAATAAAATCCAACCACGAAAATTTATGACAACATATAATGATCATATATGGTTCAAACGACATTATATGACCTCGAGATGTCTCCCTTTAAATCTTAAATCTTTTCGACACCAGGTCCCGGAACCTCCAAAATTTAACAAAAAGCGTGGATACTAGACTTCAATTTTGGAATTTTTGGACTTTTTACCGTCCGGGAAAAAAATTCCGAAATGTTTGTCATGGTCCCTAATACCCTAAGGGAGTCTCATTGGGTGGGTGGAATCATCTAATTCGCCTTTAAACGGCCAATTTACCGGTTTACAACTTGCACCTATTTCATTAACTCCAACCCACCACGAATATTTATGACAACATATAATGATCACATATGGTTTCAAACGACATTAAATGACTCCAAAATTTATCTTCTAAAATTTTAAGGCTTTTCGACACCGGGTCAGGAAGCCTCCAAAATGTCATAGAAAGCGTGGATATTAGCCTTAAATCTTAGAATTTTTTTACTTTTTTTCGTCCAAAAATAAAAATTGTCGAAATGTTTACCATGGTCCCTAATACCCCTTGGGAGTCCAATTGGTTGGATAGAACCATCCAATTTGCCTTTAAACGACAATTTATCGGTTTACAACTTGCACCGATTTCATTAACTCAAACCTTCCACGAATATTTAAGACAACAAATATTGATCATATATGGTTCCAAACAACATTATATGACCTCGAGATGTATTCTATAGAATTTAAAGACTTTTAGCCACCGGGCGTCGAAGGCTCCAAAATTTCTCAAAAAGCGTGGATAATAGCCTTCAATTTTTGAATTTTTTGACTTTTTTTTCGCCTGTATATAAAAATAGCCGAAATGTTTACCATGATCCCTAATAGCCTCCGGGAGTCCAATCGAGTAGGTGGAACCATCCAATTTGCCTTTAAACGGCCAATTTACCGATTTACAACTCTCGTCGATTTAATTAATTCAAGCCTACCAAGAACATTTATGACAACATATAATGATCATATATGGTTCCAATCGGCATTATATGACCATGAGATGTATCCCCTAAAATCTCAAGCCTTTTCGACAATAGGCCCCGAGACCTCCAAAATTTCTCAAAAATCGTGGATATTAGACTTCAATTTTGGAATTTTTTGACTTTTTTCGCCCAAAAATGAAAATTTCCGAAATTTTTACTATGGTCCCTAATACCCTCCGGGAGTCCTATCGGGTGGGTGGAACCATCCAATTTGCCTTTAAACAGCCAATTTACCAATTTACAACTTGCACCGATTTCATTAATAAAATCCAACCACGAACATTTATGACAACATAAAATGATCGTATATGGTTCCAAACAACATTATATGAACCCGAGATGTATCCCTTAAAATCTCAAGCCTTTTCGACACCAAGTCTCGAAAACTCCAAAATTTAAAAAAAAGCGTGGATATTAGCCTTCACTTTTGGAATTTTATTAACTTTTTTTTCGTCTGGAAAAAAAATTTCCAAAATGTTTACCATAGTCCCAAATACCCTCCGGGAATCCCATTGGGTGGGTGGAATCATCCAATTCACCTTTAACCGATCAATTTACCGGTTTACAACTTGCACCTATTTCATTAACTCAAGCCAACCACGAATATTTATGACAACATATAATGATCACATATGGTTTCAAACGACATTAAATGACTCCAAGATTTATCTTCTAAAATTTTAAGGCTTTTCGACACCGGGTCAGGAAGCCTCCAAAATGTCATAGAAAGCGTGGATATTAGCCTTAAATCTTAGAATTTTTTTACTTTTTTTCGTCCAAAAATAAAAATTGTCGAAATGTTTACCATGGTCCCTAATACCCCTTGGGAGTCCAATTGGTTGGATAGAACCATCCAATTTGCCTTTAAACGACAATTTATCGGTTTACAACTTGCACCGATTTCATTAACTCAAACCTTCCACGAATATTTAAGACAACAAATAATAATCATATATGGTTCCAAGCAACATTATATGACCTCGAGATGTATTCTATAGAATTTAAAGACTTTTAGCCACCGGGTGTCGAAGGCTCCAAAATTTCTCAAAAAGCGTGTATAATAGCCTTCAATTTTTGAATTTTTTGACTTTTTTTCGTCTGCATATAAAAATAGCCGAAATGCTTACTGTAATCCCTAATAACCTCCGGGAGTCCAATCGGGTAGGTGGAACCATCCAATTTGTCTTTAAACGGCCAATTTACCGATTTACAACTCTCGCCGATTTAATTAATTCAAGCCTACCACGAACATTTATCA